CCATGCTCCTGGCTAGGAAGAATTAATATCATCAAAATGGCCATCCTGCCCAAAGCAATATACAGATTCGATGCAATCCCTATCAAATTACCAACAGCATTCTTCAATGAACTGGAACAAATAGTTCAAAAATTCATATGGAACCACCAAAGACCCCAAATAGCCAAAGCAATCCTGAGAAGGAAGAATAAAGTGTGGGGGGATCTTGCTCCCCAACTTCAAGCTCTACTACAAAGCCACAGTAATCAAGACAATTTGGTGCTGGCACAAGATCAGAGCCACAGACCAGTGGAACAGAATAGAGACTCCAGACATTAACCCAAACATATATGGTCAATTAATATATGATAAAGGAGCCATGGACATACAATGGGGAAATGACAGTCTCTTCAACAGATGGTGCTGGCAAAACTGGACAGCTAGGTGTAAGAGAATGAAACTGGATCACTGTCCAACCCCATACACAAAAGTAAATTCAAAATGGATCAAAGACCTGAATGTAAGTCATGAAACCATAAAACTCTTAGAAAAAAGCATAGGCAAAAATCTCATGGACATAAACATGAGTGACTTCTTCATGAACATATCTCCCCGGGCAAGGGAAACAAAAGCAAAAATGAACAAATGAGACTATATCAAGCTAAAAAGCTTCTGTACAGCAATGGACACCATCAATAGAACAAAAAGGCACCCTACAGTATGGGAGAGTATATTCATAAATGAAAGATCCGATAAAGGGTTGACATCCAAAATATATAAAGAGCTCACATACCTCAACAAACAAAAACCAAATAATCCAATTAAAAAATGGACAGAGGAGCTGAATATACAGTTCTCTAAAGAAGAAATTCAGGTGGCCAACAGACACATGAAAAGATGCTCCACATCACTTGTCATCAGAGAAATATAAATTGAAACCACAATGAGATATCACCTCACACCAGTAAGGATTGCCATCATCGAAAAGACAAACAACAAATGTTGGCAAGGTTGTGGAGAAAGGGGAACCCTCCTACACTGCTGGTGGGAATGTAAATTAGTTCAACCATTCTGGAAAGCAGTATGGAGGTTCCTCAAATTGCTCAAAATAGAAATACCATTTGACCCAGGAATTCCACTTTTAGGAATTTACTCTAAGAATGCAGCACTCCAGTTTGAAAAAGACAGATGCACCCCTATGTTTGTTGCTGCACTATTTACAATAGCCAAGAAATGGAAGCAACCTAAATGTCCATGAGTAGATGAATGGATAAAGAAGATGTGGTACATATATACAGTGGAATATTACACAGCCATAAGAAAAAAACAGATCCTACCATTTGCAACAACATGGATGGAGCTAGAGGGTATTATGCTCAGTGAAATAAGCCAGGTGGAGAGAGGTAAGTACCAAATGATTTCACTCATATGTGGAGTATAAGAACAAAGGAAAACTGAAGGAACAAAACAGCAGCAGAATCACAGAACCCAAGAATGGACTAATAGTTACCAAAGGGAAAGGGACTGGAGAGGATGGGTGGGAAGGGGGGGACAAGGGCAGGGAAAAAGAAAGCAGACGTTACGATTAGCATTTATAGTGTTGAGGGGGCTCGGGGACGGCTGTGCAACACAGAGAAGACAAGTAGTGATTCTACAGCATCTTACTAGACTGATAGACAGTGACTGTGAAGGGGTATGTGGGAGGGACTTGGTGAAGGGGAGAGCCTAGTAATCATAATGTTCTTCATGTAACTGTAAATTAATGATACCAAAAAAAATACATTACTTTCTCTATTGTAGAACAAAGGTCTCACATTATACAAGATTTCTTTTTTTAAAGAGTAATACCTAGTAGCAAATAATCAGAAAGTTTCAAATGAAAGAAGGAGGCAGAAGATGTACCAAGTGAACAGGAACACACAGAAACGTTGGGGTGGTAATATTATCTGACAATGTAGAATCTAATACAAAAGGATTACATAAAACAAATAAGCTTATTTTTAATGGCTAAAAATGCCAGTACAATATACACCAGGCCTACACCTTTCCATATCAAATAATATAGCCCGCAAATAGATAAACAAAAAACAAAACTCCACAAATGCGATATGCTACAGGAAATCCCTTGGATCTCTGTTTGCGGGCCAGGGCTCTTTAACATTACCGTGTGAAAACTCACCCTTCTCTTGAAAACAAATGGAAGTAATAAACTATAGCAGTTTTTCTGAGCTCCATATTCCTTCCCAGAGAGACCATGTATGTTTGCAAAATTCCTTGGAGCACTCTCTCTCTGCCTGGAGATGATACTTGCTGTTGTGTGATATTTCTGTTAGAAAAAAAGAAAAACAAAGATGGTCCCTTAGTATTTCAAATCTGATAGCTTTGAGATTATCCTTTAGACCTTCCAATTCCACCTCAGGAGAAATAATAAAAGGGCATGTAACTCCAACCTCTTTGAACCAGCCACTTGGTAGAGCTCATCAACTTTGACTTCTGTGTCAAGGCAAACTTGTTTCCCCACTTAGTGAAGGGAGCCAGACTAACATGGGAGTTTGGGACTATATATGAGTAGGGAAAAAACAGTTTTTTTCTTCCTAACAGAAGAATTAAAACAATTTGGGTAATATCTGTTTACCTGGTGTTGCTTCGGTTGGACTCCATCTTTTGAGGCCATCAAATTTCCATAGTGTTGCTTTTTAAAGATTCAGAGTAAAGTCTAGAAAATAATTATCTCTACTTTTGGCAATGATTAAAATATGATGGAAGGCTTCAACAGTTTTCTCATAAACTGAGATATCATATAGACAAAAATACATAAGTATTTAGAGGCTCTGAGACATACACTTAAGGTGTCTAATAAACAAACAGACCTTTTTGCCTTACAAAAGAATACATTCTTTAAAGTGATCCCTGAAACATTTATAAAATTGCTAAAATTGGTTGAAAATTTTAACAAATTTAAGAATAGAAATTACATAGGCCTCATTTTCTTATTCTTTCATTTGTTCATTCATTCATTCAATATGTAATAATGTTTGGCACCATTTGCCAAACAATATGCTAGATGCTGGTGATGGGGCCAGAAAATTTAGAACATTTAAAAAAATAAATAGAAAAGAAAATTCTCAAGCTTTTAGGGAACTCAAACAAAACAAATGTTTCTCCTAATAACTCTGGGATGAGAGAATAAATCAAAAGTGCAATTACAAACTACTTAGACAATATTGATGGTAATTATTCTACATTCTAGTGAAAACTGTTCTCAGGGGAAATTCATAGCATTTGATGTTTTTATTATTAATGAGGGGAGATTTAAAATAAATAAATGAAGTATTTCTGTTAGGTTTATTTAGTTGCAAAAAACTAAAAAGCTGATCCCAGAATATATTCAAAGGACTCCCCCATCCTCCATGAGCTATTCATTGGGAAACTCATATTTCTACTTGAATAGGTCATAAAATCAAAGGAAGAAAGGAAAGTCAGAATTCAGCATTAGGAACTCATACACCTTTCCTCAAGATGCTGAAATTAGGGTGATTCAGTTACAACTGGCATCCATTCCTGAATGTTTGCACTACAGATTAAGCTTCCCAGGAGAATTATCTGAATGAGCTATTGTAAGTGACCTATTCAAGGTGACCCAGGATCCCATTACTGGGGTCCAGTAGAATCATAGGTAGTGTAAGAAGAAAGTTTTGTAAAGCAAGTGTCATTGTGCAGGAAAAAACCCCTACACCAATTCTAGAAACTAGAAAAATACAACAAAATAAACAGTAAGAAAATAAACATAAAGAATTAACGAGTGAAGGGAGCAATTAATGTCCAATAAAAATTCTCTAACCTTACACAATCTAGAGCAGTTAGCTGAAAATTTCAAATAAAGCCAGGAATTATAAAAACACATACCTTATTTGAATTTAAAACATAGGCATACAATAATTTCTCAGTCTTTTGTCGCAGAGACTTTCCTTTGAATGGAGGTCTACTGACTGGAGTGCTCTGTCATTTTTCTCACATAAACCATTTTCTATGACACATCTTCCCTAATTGCTAGTTTTGGAACAGAACTTAAACACCCCTTGAGATATAATATAAAGTAAAATCCTAGTGTTTCACATTTCTTCCCCAGATTTTTAAGTTGTTTCTCCCAAACTTAATGCAACAATAATATTTAAGTATTTTTTAATATAAAGACCAACATTCTACCTACTTTTCATAGAAACAACATTCAACCTAACCTTTTAATATAAAGATCAAACATTCAACCTAATTTTCATAGAAACAACTCTTTTTCACATTCACATTAGTTGGTTTATGCAATATTTAAATAGAACATATAATTTCAATAACGTTTATAACTAGTATCAACAGTTTTCACATAAGCCCATCACTCAGGCCATCGCTCAACTAAGGAGAGCAGGATGGGAGACAGTCAAGTCCTGGTTGTGAACGTTCTCATGTTCTCATCAGGAACATTAAAGTTGTTATCATGTTAGCAGTTCAAAGGAGGAAAAAGTACATAATGATCCAAATAGATGCCAAAAAGGCATTTAAGAAAATTCAGTATTCATTCTTGATCTAAAACAAAATATTGGCAAATAAAGATCCAAAAGATTTTTTTCTTATATGATAAATTTTTTTAAAAACCTAGGTCAAATTGTGTTTGGTATTATACTCAACACTACAACAGTAGAGGAAACCTTATCAAATTTGGGCATGAAGCACATATGTCCACTATCACCTCTGTCTGTCACTGATCACAGTTCTGAAAGTGCTAAGTAATGCAGTTAAATAGAAAACCAAATGAGAGCTATGACTAATGCAGCAAATTTACCATTATTTTTAGAAAATATAATTGCCTTTCTGGAGAATATCTGAGAATCAACTGAAAAAGTATTAAAACTAACAGAGTTCATAAGATAGTTTTAACATAAATAATGAAAAAGATATACCCACACCATCATTAACCTCTTAGAAAATTTAATAGAAAACCTTCACAATAGCCACACAACCACACACTTCTGAAAATTAAATTTAATCAGAAATGGGCTAGATCTCTCTACAGAAAGTCATTCTTTCCTCGGGAGAACAGAAGAAGAAAAATAAATGGCAAGACTGTAATGTTCCTGAAGAGGAAAACTTGTCAAGATTGCAGTATTACAGTTTTCCCCCAAAGTGATCCTTAAATTAAAAAAATATATGCACTTTTGTGTCACGTTTGTAAGAGAGGTGTTCACACACACACACACACACACACACACACACACACGTGCACAGGCACACCTCCTCTTTCTGAACTCCCTTTCAGCCGCCCTTCACACTCTCCCTGTTATCCATTGACCTTCATGAAGGACTCAGATTGCTTCTTCCTGTCTATCTTTTTGAGCCTTACCTACTGCCTGCCTTAAATGACAAAAATATTACTCTTACTAGGCCTACTAATCCTACAGCTATTGCTTTGACTCTGCCTTTATCCAGCACCCATTCTGGGCAAAGCACTGTGCCAATGCATTACCACCCGGATAACTGACACTGTTACTGTCTTCATTCTCCAAAGAAGGAAGAGGCTTGGAGGTTGCTCAAGTTTTCCATTGCTGCTATAACAAATTACCTCAAACTTCGTGGCTTAAAACAACAGAGGTACATTACCTTCAGTCAGAAGTCTGAAGTGGGATTCACTGGACTAAAACCCAAGGTGTCAGCTGAACTGCATGTCCTCTGGAAGCTCTAGGCTTTCTGGGGCCCTGGTGGGTTGTGTCCTCACATTGCATCATTCTGATCCCTCTTCTGTCTGGTTCTGTAACTTTTAAGGACCCTTGTGATTACACTGGACCACCTGGATAATCCAGGATACTCTTCTTTTGTTAAAGTTGGCTGATAAGCAACTTTAATTCCACCTGCAGTCTTAATTTCCCTCAACCATGTACGCAACATTTTCACGGATTCTGAGGATTTGATGTGGACATCTTCGAGGGCCATTATTCTGCCTGTCACAGAGGCTGTACATAACTCCCTACAAGTCATGGAAGTAATAATGTTTTCTGGATTTGAATCTTGTCTCTTGAATTCGCTGCCTCCACTAGTAACCCCAATGCACATTGCTGCTTCAGTAACATTCAGCCAATGATATCATTTCCTAAAGCCCTCTCCTGGCAGGTGCCATCCTGGACACTGGCAGCTCCTATATAAGTAAGAGTTAACCTCTGCCCCAGAAAGATCCACAGGCTTGTGGAGGAGAGTGGCTTGTAAATGTGATAAATAACTATAAAGGTAAATTAAAAGTATCTGCAAAATTCTGTGGGTACACAGAGGAGGGGGTAATGAATTCCACAGGAGAGGAAAGTTGTGTGGCATGGAGTTGGAGAGAATAAGTCGTTTGAAAGATAATTAGTTCAGGAGGAAGGGAAAGAGGTGAAGAATGCTTCATGCACAGAGAATGATGGGAGAAAGGCCAAGCAATGCAAGGGACTGAGTGTTTACAAGTAAAATAATTCATTTTGGTGAGGTCAGACTGAATGAGGTGAAAGGTAGAAACTCCTTTTTAGACTCCTAAGTAGAAATTTACCTTAGCCATCCAGGCCCCAGAGAAAACAGAACTCTCCACATGGAAGGAAAAAAACAATCAAGTTTGTTTTGCTTTGTTTTTTTTTCACTATTAATTTGACTTTGAACAAATCACTGCAAAGTGAAGAGGTTGAATGGATTCATCTATTTAAATATTTATTGGCCATTCTAGGAGCAGAAGGTACGAAAGTGAATAATTCACAGAGGGCTCACAATCTAGAGAAAGGACATCTGTACAACTGATGAGGTTACAGCATAGTAAATGCCACAATAAACGCGCCAGCAGAAATCCCAGCGATGTGGCAGTGCCTTCCAGTTCTTTGTGTCTGTGAAGCCAGGCCTGCATGAAGGCATCACATATTTCAGTGTGATGCTTTTATCACTTGGAATCTCTAAATTCTGATTCTTGGATGCATGCGTGCTGCGCTGCTAAGCACAGATGATTGCCCAGTCATTCAGCTGAGGGAGGCAGCACTCTAGTCAGGTTTGTTTGCTTTTGTTACTAGCAGTATTCATGCAAACCAAGATATGTGACTGACCTCTGCATTCCAAGCATTTCTCATCAGCCCTCCTGACATCTTGGACAGCATGTCTTGCTGCTCTAAAGGGCTGCCTGCTTCCCCTGCAAGGACTCTGAACTCCCTGGGGGCTGGTTCCGGATGCTTGTGCCTCTCCCCATTTTTGCGGCTCTTTTGTTCACCTACCGTTTTCAAGATCTGTCTTTCAAAATAAAATTGGATGGCTAAGTGAGATGTTGGCCAT